TGCCGGAAAGCAGCTTGAGGATGGAAGGACCCTTGCTGACTACAACATTCAGAAAGAGTCTACCCTTCACCTTGTCCTTCGTCTGAGGGGAGGAATGCAGATCTTCGTGAAGACCCTTACCGGGAAGACCATCACCTTGGAGGTGGAGAGCTCAGATACGATTGACAACGTGAAGGCGAAGATTCAGGACAAGGAGGGAATTCCTCCAGACCAGCAGAGGTTGATCTTTGCTGGAAAGCAGCTGGAGGATGGGAGGACTCTGGCTGATTACAACATCCAGAAGGAGTCCACTCTTCACCTTGTCCTTCGTCTCCGAGGTGGTTTCTAAATCGATCTTCTGAAAATGGAAAAACTTATATGCTGTGGTGGTGGCCCTGTTGCGGTCATGTGAATAAATTTGGGATTATGTTCTGTTTCTTTACTTTCAAGTATTTTGTTACAAATGTCTGCTGAAGTGTACTGTTCTTTGTAATGTATAATATATCAACGTTTTCTAGTAAAATAAATTGGAAGCATTTGTTCTCTCCAACAAAGGACAACTATATTCTAAAATTGGCATCTTTAAAAAAGAAACCGTCCAATTTGTAATAGGATAGAATCAATGGTGTTATCAAAATCCTGAATTTGATATATACGGAGCCTTAATTTTCTTATGTTTTTAAAGTTTATATTTATGTTTTCTATAAGCAAATTATTTCATCTTCTATATAGATTTAGAATCGTTTTAAAATTGTCTTAAAAAAAAACAAAAACGGAATTATTATAAATATGAAAGATTTTCATACTTCGTTCATAGAGAAAATCCATTTTCTCATCTCCATCATCATCTGAGGAGTGTATATTTTGATATTTTGCAGACTACGAATAGTGAATTCATCTATTAGTTTCTGTTTGCAATATAATTTATTTATTTAAAAAGAAAACTTGCGAAGACAACATACGTTGCCTCTGGGACAAATTAATAACACCCTTGGATACATTCATAAGATTAAGAGGTAGATTTTGAATAATTGTGGCGTTCTTTCTTGTACAAAGAGATTTCTACTTCTTCTGAATAATTCCCGTCCAAGTTGGTAGAGCGTTGGCAACAACATTTTCTTAGCAAAAGCATCTGAATTTCGACTTGTCTAAATTTCCTCAAAAAATTCGCCTTCTCTTTTCTGACTGGTTTGATTTTCTGTTTCTGTGTGTTCATTGATAAGAAAGGGGGCCTCAGAGAACAGTGAGTATAACTAGTTTTGTAACAGCAACTGATTGAATTCCACTCTGCCAAGGTTGAATGCCACTTTTTATAAGTTTTCGTAAAACTTTGTATCCTTCTCTTTGAAAATTTCTTGATCTTGTTATTGAATAGCTTATCCAACTCAAATATCACACATTGCTCTTGATAACGTTTGGCTTTGTCTCAGGCGATCAAATTAGACATAAATTTGATTCCATTATGAACTGAAGTTTCAAGAAAGTTTCATAATATAGGGCATTCTCACAGAGGAAGAAATTAAATAAATCAAATAAGGGACTGATAAGATCAAGCAAAATACAACATCTACTTTGTGCTGCTTGATTAAAAAAAAAAAGGCCAAAAAGAGAACAAAATCTTATATGGTGCTTGCCTTTCCTTGCTCTCAATTCTCGAATCTCTCAATCCCATGGACTCAATGAACACTCCCAAGGCAAAGTTGGGAACCTTTCCTTATCCTTGCAATAGTCATAGATTACAAGGTTTCTCTGAACCCAAGCGTAGTCCTTTTTCTGAGAATCCGAGAGATGCCAAGCCTCGTATTGATCCCACCAATGCTCTGTCGTCGTCGATACGCATTTGGGATATGGGTCTTCCCATTGGCAGGCCTCCACACTGAAATCCTTATATGAGGATACAAATGGCGCCTTCGTCCAGTTCGTCTTCTCCAGCCCACCTCTCGTCGCCCAATCATCTGCGTTCCAGATGCTCGAGAACAGGTACATGGGCTTCTCGTTCGGGAAGAAGTTGTTTGCTTTATCTGCGTTCCTGTATACCCTTATTGGTACTTTATCCACATAAAACCTGTTCCAAAATTTCAACGGAAGAGTTATTCATTTGGGTTTTCTGCTGCAAAGCAAATGAAGGTAAAATTTGAAAAAATGAAGATCGCTGTTTTCTTATTTGGGGCTGCATCTCTCATCTCTCTTGTTTAATTTTTCTTTTTTTTTTTTAATTTTATTTCTGGGTGTTCGTTTCTAGTTGACGATTTGGAAATTGAGAGCCCTTTATAACGATTTATCTGAAACTCTGATCTTCTACCTAAAAGGGGGAACATTCTACAGAGGTTCATTCACTCCACCCACCGGGTGTTTGATTAAATGACTGTGAGAACAAATGGCCCACAGCTGTGAGTTTCTTATGTCCAGATTGTCCTGGTTGTTGCCATGGAGGGCGATGGCAACTAAGTAAAGCTAGTGTCCTTTTTGGATGACCCTTTAATAGAACTCGAGTATAGAGTAACAGTAGAACTTACACAATCTGGTGGTCGTTCCACAGAATGGAATATGTATGGAACTCTTCTGTGGGGTCAAACCAAAGAATGTGCCTCATCTCACGGTTCCCAGTCCCGTTCTTGTACACATTGGTCTGAATCAGGTATGGCTGCCCACTCCTATTTCCCAAGAACTCAAAATCTAGCTCATCTCTCTCCGGTCCAGCCCCATTCTCTGTGCACATCTGCAAAAAGCATTTCAGTCTTAGCCATAGAAGAAAGCTCAACTCAAGCTTGAGTTTTTGCTTGTTATAAGAACCTACGTAATAAGCTGTGACAACACCGGCAGAGTCACCTCCGACCAACTTCAGTTTCATGCTGAACCAGCCAAATCTATATCGCTCCTTTGTCTGAAACCCACATCCTGTTTTTTGTCGGTGGAAACAGATTAAGGAAAGAGAAGATTACTTGTTACAACAAAAACCATAGCTTTGAAAGCAAGTCAAAATAGCTTGGATCAGGAAGTAGCTTGAATATTGATTCCCTTTAGATCGGTACCTGCATCTTTGTCAAGGGACAGATGCCAGATCTGGCCATCTTCGGAGGTTTTAAAATGGTCATCGGGGCAAGCCATTTCGAACTCATCTGCAAAAGTTCCTTTGGAATCATCTGCAGATGAAGAAGTAGCGGCCAAGAGTGCAGCCGTGAAAACAAGAACGCCCATTGGAGAAACCCTCTTCTTCTCCATCATGGACAGGGGACTGTGGAAGCTGAGAAACAGGAGCTTCTCAGCTGTAACTCTGAAGAAAGGAGCACTAAATAATCGAAAACAAAATAATTTCGATATTATTGATTCGTGTTCATAATTGAACTGTAAGAAATGAACAAGCTTGTGTAATGCCACATAAGTTAAAAGGCATTTCACTTGCAATTTCAAGCGAATTTACTGTAAAACACAATGTGGCACTCCGAGGAGTTTTGGTCCATTGATTTTTCATTATTGGTTGGTCTGATGACATGGTTATTTGACGAAAATGCCCAAAAAGAAGCTTATTGTAAAAGAGGGCAGATGCAAAATCCGAGATGGGTATTCATGGAATTTAGAGGAAGCGGTGCAGCTGAGTAAAATAAAGCGTAGGGAACAGAGAAGGGTTAGCCAGGCTGCCACCCAATGGGGGTGTCTTCGAAGAACATGATCAGTTGTATGTACAATCATCGATTTTTTTTTTCCTTTTTTCTTTCTCAAATAGGTTTCCTGATTCACAAGATCTAATCTACTTGCTGGTTTTTGTAATTGTGATCACATGCTGAGGAGAATTAAATGAATATTGTATTGGGGTTTTAGAGTCAAAAAGATTAAAGAAAAAGGGAAACCCACATTCTACATAGAACCAAGTTAAAAATTTTAAATTTTGTTTTGATTCCTTTAACAAAGCAAGCTTTATTGGTAATTTCCAACATGCTAAGCACACACTTTCCAATGCATAAATATGCCATCAAAAGAATATTAAGAAAGTGAATAACTGTTCTGTATGGAATGGCTTGGCTCTTATTGCAGGTTCCATTGGCTTAATAATGGTTTTGGTAAAGCCTAATCAGACGGCGCATAGTGTTTTGAAAATGGTGGAGCCTTTGCTTTTAAAAGTCTCTTTTGGTTTCTGTCTGGACTGATGCGACGGGGTCGGTGCTATGCAATCTCTTTCTTACTCTCTTTGGCCTTTTTGGCTTTACCATATTGTGTTCTTGTTCCTCTTTTTCAATCGTTTTTCTTTTTGTTTAATAGAAAGGTTTGAAGAATTTGATTGTTGTTGAACTTCTATATGAATAAGATACAAAACATTATTATAAATTATTATAGAAAGTAAAGATTCCTGAGTTTTAAACTTCTAAAATTATGTTTAATTAATATATATTTAGACGTTTCCTTTCGAATTTAACAAGTTCTTGAACTTTTTAACAAGTTCTTGAACTTTTTAACAAGTTCTTGAACTATTAAACATTTTATTGAAAAAAGAGAGATAGAAGTGTTATGTAACCTATTAAATATTTTTCAAAGTTGACCAATATATTCCATCAATATGTTTAGGTTAAACTAATCTCAAATCTGAGAAATTAAGTGCGAATCATGGAAGTTCAACGTTTCTTCCCTTTTAAAAAGAAAAAATGGAAAATTTTTGGTTTTCTGCCTTCAAAATAGTTGAAGAAATATTAATGAAGTTGAATTGATGGCTTGACCCAACAACATTGAACAGCAAATAGGGAAGGAAATTGGGTGGCAAGTGAAGCAGGAGCCATGTGCCAAGGGCACGAGGTTGTCGGTGAAAGATGGAGATGCCCTCCCTTTTTATCTTAGTAGTTGGGGCCTGAAATTGGGCCTAATGGTGTTCCATTCAAATAATTGGGCCTAAACAAGATCCACATAGGCCCAATCCTGTCCTTCACAAGTTACACGGAGTTATGTTTCTTTAGGTATATTATCTCTGAATCAATTAAGACTTTTGTATGTATCCCTATTGTTACCTTACAATTCCACCAAATAAACTCCCTAGGAAAGTTTTAATTTGAATTCCACATTACTTTCTTGAAAATTCTTATTTGGTCATGTAGAATACTCCCGACAAACTATTTCAAGTATTGAATTTAAGTACTTCATATTTTTTCGATTCATGATTGACAACGAGAGAGCCTTATTCTTCAATTGATATCACAACCCTTCTATGATAGCCACTATAACGCCCAATCACGTTGATAAAAGATAAAAGGGATTCCAACCCATAAAATCAAAATATCTATCTTTCTTAAAACCATAACACAATATTCTTTGTACATTCTCTATCTTGGACGAGTCTTATCCTGCATAGAGTCATTTTACAATTTGAACAACCATAGACATAACACACTCCATTAACAATCCTTAGTTAGCAGTAGAATGGGGTTTGGTGAAAGCAAAGAATAAAATTGGCAGAGCCGAAAGGGGTTGAATAAAAGTTGATGCTCTCATTTTGATACTGATCTTTATAACCTTCTCCTTTTAAATATTCCCGTCTTTGCGTACACATTCAGCGGTCTTGATTCCTCTGTATATTTCAATTTTCATCAATCATTCATCACCCACCCAAATGACTCCTCTACCCATCTTCCCCCTCGTTGGAGAAGCAGAGATCCCGAGGGCATGCCGGTAATTGATCACTCCACCATGCATCATAAACTTACAACTGCCGTGTTCTTTAAAAGCTTGGCTCCATTAAAATGTAGTGCCTGGAACTGAGAAAAAATTAAAGGGTGAGAAATGGAAGAAGAGAGTGAGATGGTGGGGAGGGCATTTGTGGAACATTATTACCAATTGTTCGACAACGAAAGAGCCTCTGTTTCGTCTCTGTACCAACCAGAGTCGATGCTCACTTTCGAGGGGCAGAAAATCTTAGGCGTTGACGACATCTCCTCCAGGCTCCAGCAATTGCCCTTTGAACGCTGCCGACATGTCGTCAGCACTCTCGACACCCAGCCCTCCGCCGCCACCGGCTCCCTCCTCATCTTCGTCAGCGGCAGCCTTGAGTTGCCCGGTGAAGAACACCAACTCAGATTCAGCCAGGTACTTAAAACTGTTAAATAATGTCTACGTGTCTGGTCTATGTTTACTAAAAAAAATAGAATTGTACAGTTAAACACTCGTAAAAATAGGATTAAATAATATTTTTATTTAGGTAGAAATAAATTGAAAATGAGAATAAGAGAAAAAAATTTATTTTATTGTTTCTAAAATATTTATAAATTAGAGAAAAAAACTTAAATAGTAGTCACAAATGTTTAGATGTTTTAATAAAATTGAAAACAAAAAAACAAGAAAGACATACTTGAGATCTGGTTTAGTAACGCTTCTATTTCTCTATTTTTAGTGGATAAGAATGAATTGCATGGTTCAAAACTTCAAAAATTAAATTCAATTCAATTCAAGTATAATCATTTATTTATATTTTGAAAAAATAAGAAATAAGAAACTTGTTTAATTGTCTCGAAAATTTCTATACAATTTAAAAAATGTTCACAACAAATAAAAAAAAGAAACATAATTAGTTCTAAAATACCTAAATTTTTTGAGAAAAAAGGAACGGAAATTTTACCCAAGAAGCCTGCTATGATTTTTTATCCCGTCAGTAAATTTATTTGCTAAACCTAATATTGATCATTGCAGATGTTTCACTTGGTGCCGACGTCGCAGGGGAGTCTTTTCGTTCAGAACGACATTTTTCGCCTCAATTACGGTTAGGGAACACATTTCAGCACAAAAACGATGTCGTTTACCTGGATGTAACAGTGATTTGTATTCTAGACTTCTGATTCCGTTATTCCGACGAATTTGCTTTCATCAGCTTCTACGTCCACTATTATATATGTTTCTGCTTTTTAATCTCTTTTTCAACTATTGGGCTCGGCCCAATAACTGAGCTGGGCTATGGACTTGCCCAGCCCAAATTGGCTGGCTTTGGACACGTGGATCATTTCCGGCAATATTTTCGTGACCGACGAATCAAAATCAATTGCAGCACTAATTCTATCACCGCTCGCTCCATAAATTTGTGAAGTAAATTCAAGGAATCGATAAAATACAGAGTGAGAACTGAGAAGGCATTATTAAAGATTATAAATCTAAGCGGTAAATAAATAATAATATGAAAATTTTCTGCATTATTTATAATACATTAGAAATATTGATGAGTTTACCAACTTCCTTGATTCTTTACAATAAATCTACGAAAACAACAAAATATAGTAAAATGTTGATAACTAGTTAATTTAAAGATTCTTTTTCTTTAAATAGTTAAAACCTTTTAATGATTGACCATTTAAACCTATCATTAGTATAATAAATCTTAAAGGTGTTATTATATTCTTCACATGTTCTTATTAATATATGTGCATTTTTGTTATTTAGCAAGTCCTACTTCATAGGAAGACTATTTTTATCTTTATTTATTTTTTTAAGAAAAAGTAAGATTAAATCTATGAACAATATATAATCTATTGTAAAATAAAAAATCTAATAATAGGCTTCAAATATGAAATCCTAAACAAACAATTATATGTTACGGGTAAATTTAGAAGTTCTTTGTGCAGTTCT